CCTGGTATAGTCCATCATGAGAAGATCCCAAGGTGGAACCCTCTGCTCATATGGTTCCCTCTATCCAGCTAAGACTTGGTGTCAGGGGCTACAGCATCTTCCCAGCCTCTAGGTGGTCCAGCTGAGGGTGGGTGCCTGGGTCCACAGCTTCTTCCCAGCCTCTAGGTGGTCCAGCTGAGGCTGGGTGCCCGGGTCCACAGCATCTGCCCATTCTCTGCTCAGGTGGTCCAGCTGAGGCTAGCTGCCCAGGTCCATAGCATCGGCCCATTCTCTGCTCAGGTGGTCCAGCTGAGGCTGGGTGCCCGGGTCCACAGCTTCTTCCTATTCTCTGCTCAGGTGGTCCAGCTGAGGTTCGGTGCCTGGATCCACAGCATTCTTCCCAGTCCTTCTACTAATGGGTTTCTGCTGTGCTCTGTGCCACCTGGGCCATCCAGATGCAGCATCATATAGAGGATAGCATATGACTGTATTCTGCAGGAGGAGTCCAAATAGGAGTGTCATTCACGAATTGACTTACTGCAATTAATAATCACATTTGCAGGGAACAGGATAATTCTCAAATCACTCTCATTTGTACAACTCATTCATCATGCACATATAAAAGACTTATTTGTCTTTATTTAATAGAATTGGAACATAGTAGAATATTGTTCAGTGCTTTTGGTGATACAGACAATTTGTGTCAGAGCCAGACTGGAAGTCTGTTTTCCGATCCCAGTGCAATACACCCATGGGAGGTGGACAACCACCACTACAGCAAAAAAAATGCAACAACGGATATTGCATATCTGCCTGGGAAATTATTATGCTGGGGCCTAGGGGTAATTAAATAAATTTTGAGAATATATAAGCTATTGTCTCATGTCCCAAAGACAGAACAATTGAAAAACTGAACCAAGCGTGAAGTGAGAAGTGAAGCCATACATTTGAATTTAGAGAAGAGAAGATTTATCACGATATCCATGGGTGGGCTGGTGGCTTTCATGGAGGAGGGGACACCTGAGCTGATGCTCCAGCCGTGGTAGGAGATCGCAAATGGAAAGCAAAGAAGGAAAGTAACTCTTAAAATGTTTTATATTAATAGTTAAGTAGAATTTAAGAAAATGGGAAAGTCACTGATTACCACAAATTACAGTTAAAACTAGGCTAAAAGTACTGCAATTGATTTAATAAAAATATATTTGGGTAAAATATTTAGATTCATAATAATGTCTTATTATTTCTAAAAATATTATCTGAAAATGCAAAAATAACTCAATAGAGACAATAGGCACCACTTTATACACTGAACAAAATAGCTTAAGGTGGGTATTTTTGAAGGGTGTTGAGTTGGGCTGACCCACGGTGCTGTTCACGCCACTCCACGTTCCCGCTCCCACTTCCCCACCTCCCCCCCTTCCCCCTCCAGTCTCTTTCCAAGGCTGTGGGTGGGCCTTGCTTTGAGCTGAGCAACCAACACATAGCTTATCGTAGAGGCTGAGGCTGGGATGAAGGGTGCACCTCGGAGACGTTAATCTTCATCCTGGAAACAGGTCAAGTCACTGCCCTCACAGCATTCTGCCACCTGTGCTCTGTTATCTACTATGGAGCCACCTGTGTTCATGATGTTTGCTGGCCAGCAAGGATAGGCTTACAGTGTGTTCCCTACAATCACCCGGTTTGAAAAATTATCCATGTCTGTCCATGAACCTGTATGTCTATCTAACCAAGGTCAAACGACAAGGAGCTACATCTGCAAGCACCATGCGACACACGCTTACTGTGTTTTTACAGTGAATTATGCGCTAACAATTCAGGCCTAAAAGGACCCCCCACAGCCAGCCACTCTTGGCAACAGGGAAAATGGATTGAGGTGCAGATGCTGAATTGCAAGCAGGGAATCCACAGCCCAGCAGGAGGTGCCCGGGCAGCACACGCCAGACGCACACGCAGACCCTGAGCCTGTCCAGAAGGAGTGGATGAGGAGTGCTATTTTTTTCTCACTGTCCTACTTTCAACACATTCTGGGAACAGTTTGTGGACTGATTGGCCAAACATGCCAACATTACCAGTTAAGGCACATGTGCCAACTCAGTGTAAACCCAGATTCCTTTTGCCAGTCCAAGGCCAGAGAGAAGCCCTTGTTATGTCTTCAGAATGAAACCAACAGAAATTCCTTTGCATTTGCGGCGACTATTTCATCTCATTCCACTAGTATTTTTTTCACAGCTCCATTCTAGAGAAAATTAGGTGTCCATTCTTGGGTCTAAAAGCAGCAGGTGTCTGTTCCCAGGGGTAACCCCCTCCCCTTGCTTTAGTCACTGAGACAGCAGGGAGAGGGGAGGATGGCGGACGCTGGGTGTCACAGTGTATGGCACAAGCCTAGGGGGCAGAACACTATTCTAAGAGGGACTTTACCTAACAAATGCAATCAGTGGAACCTAATTTTTTGTACCTCCAAGGAATCCCAAACAATTTTAAAAAAGAAAAAATTTCAGCTTTTGAGAGCAGAGAGGAAGGTGGGGAAGGCTTAGCACTGACGGGATTGGAGCAACTGACAAGGAGGAGTTTAGGGAGCTTCCTGGAGCTGGGTTTCCTCCAGGAAGTTAGGGGAAGACTGAATTCCTTGCAGCACCTCAAGGAAGTGGCAGAACCTCAGAAAGAAAATGGTAGCAGGACGCCCTTGGGAAGGCTAGATTTGGGGCTGGGAAATTGTCAAAGAGCATGGTGTAAAGGGGTGCACAAAGGCCTCGAACTGCTCAGATTCAAGGGGCTGTGTGAGCATGTGTGAAATAAATAGCCGAGGACCCCACAGTTGGCTGCCTTGAGGAAGAGAATGAATTCCCAGTAATGATGGAGATTAAATTCCTCCACTCCACACGATGAATTCTCCAAGTGAAATGAAGTTGATTTAGAATTTTGTTGGAAGGTGTTTCTTATGCCCATATCTAGTAATAAATTTTGCAAGCATCACCTAGTTGTGAAAAGAGTGTTATATTTTGTGTGCAGAATGAATGTTTATGGAGATGGCCAATAACAATTTTGCAGACTGATGGGTGACATTTCATCAGTCCAAGCAGATGAGGGGATGATAACAGGTAGAAGACTAATTACAGCTGTAGCAGTTTCATATTGTGAATGGCAAGATAGTGGTTGGCTTATCATAGGATTTAATGAAATGCAAGTCTTTGGGCCTCTTTCCTTGTCAGGGAAGGTTCTGCTTTATATCCAGTCAGAGATTAATTAGTATGGTTGGAGAGGTGGTTAATGGGTTTTATCTGGCCAATAAACACATGTTTGCTGAACGAACAAGGGAGTGGCTTAATTAGGGTGGCGTCTGAATGAGGAGGAAAGAATGAAAAACAGACCCGAGGAGAAGGAAGGAGCACCCCGGGCCTGTGATCACAGGGGCACCTTGACACCTTGAGACAAGAATGGTAACTTATGAGGTAACTTAACTCAATAGTTAAGTTACTACTGAGTACTGAGTACTGAGAACTTACTGAATAGTAAGTACTGAGAAGAAGCTAGAAATGCAGGCAGCAGTCAGACCACGCAGGTCTGAAGGCCGAAACGTGGCCCTCAGGTGATCAGGAATCTAGGAGAATTCTAACACGACTTCATCATCCCTTTTTTAAAAGAGTGTTCTGAGTACGCAGTAGAGGGTGAGTGGGCAGATTGAGGAAATGTGGGAGGAGATTATCGCACTCATCCTGGTCAACGGGGCGCTGCCAGCCTGCTCCAGTGACAGCAGTGAAGATGATGAGATGAAATGAGAGAAAGGGATATGGGAAGAGGTGCAGGACGCAGGTCAGCTGGGACCTGCTGGCTCCTTGGGGGGCAGTGCCGGGTCATAGACAGGGAGGGAGCCTCAGTACAAGGCATAGGTAGCTTCAGAAAATATTGTTAGTCACGGTGGGAAAGAAACAGGGACAGGAGCTCAGTCGCGTGCCCACCATGTCTAAGGAGTCTCATGTGAAGACACGGCCACAGTCCTTACCTGGAGTCACTGATTTAATCAAAGCTGTTGGGTACATTAGACTCATTTAAGCAGAGAGTGAAAGATGATGAGAGTCACCAGCTTACTCCCTTGCTTTGCTATTTGAAATACAATTTCTTTCTTTGTGCACCAGCACTATGTGCAGCTTAGCTCTCTCCCGCAGCGTGCCTGTGCAGCCGTGGGTTTTACACAGAGGCTGTTTCCCTAACATCTAAGACGTGCACACTGTACTTACTTAGGGAAAGATTTCAATACAGTAGAATACTGAACAGCTGCACTTCAGGAGAAAATGTTATTTAAACTTGTCTGTTGCTTTTCCACCTTACGATCCACCCTACCAAAGAATCTTCAGCTTCTGAGTGAGGAGCGTGTTTCTTTTTCTCGGAACCTTCGACTGTCCCCACTTGTTTCCCGTCCTTGTCCTCGGCGTGTGTTCCCCTTTCCGACGCGTTGCTTATTCTGACTCAGGCTGGTACATTTGAAGCAGAAGAAGCACAAGTGTAAAAATAAACCTACGTTTTCCTTTGCACACACGTTTGACTGCACCCGTTCCCAGGAACGGTATTCAGCATGAGTCCTTAGGGAACGGAACAGGACTTGGTAGTCAAGAATAATGTCTCATAACTGGTCCCTGGGACTGGCCTCCGCCCCGGCCGGCTGCTCCCTCCAGCTCTTCTAAGATTGTTCGGATCAAGTAAAATAAAAACAAAAATAAAATAAAATTTAAAACAGAAGATTGCATTGTTACAACAATGCAAAAATCAAGTGGATGGCCAAAGTAAGAGTTTTTGTTCAATAAAAAGTGTGGCAGAAATCATATTAACTTGAGGGGGTCAGAGGAAACAATGTGTGAGTTTTTATTGTACGTAGAGAAACAGAACAGCTGAGCATGCCATGATCAAAATCAATACTGAAATATATGATGATCAGACAATTTTAAACAAATATCCTGTCCTGTTTTATATTTAGACAAATGCGTAAGCGTGCAGTGTAAAAGTTGCATTTACGCTGTCTCCTTCAGGAACCACGGTGCCGGCTCTGCTGAACAGCACGTCCAACCAGCTCTACCTGCGTTTCCAGTCCGACATCAGCGTGGCGGCCGCTGGCTTTCACCTGGAATACAAAAGTAAGGCCGATCGCTTTTGTGTCTCGCTTTCATTGTTATATTGATGCATTTCCTTGAAGGAGAAATACATACATACTCTTACTAAATAATGAAATTTTATTGCTCTAAAAGTATGTCTAAGGTTAACATGAAATTGGGTCTTCTGAAACCTAGCTCTGTGACGTATCATGAAAGACTAAGGGGGGACATGCAGACATTAGTATCTGGAACAATTAGATAAAACAACTGCTATGACTTCAGGTCCTTGGTATTAAAAAGCCCCCAAACCAATTATTTGTCATATTGCTAGTCTTCTTGTGAGTGGGATAAAAAATATTCATCTTAGCATTCAAAAATGAAGGAGATCATAACTTCCAAACAGATTATGGTCGAGAGCCTTTTCTGTTTCCAGTCTCAAAGGCTGTTAAAATCAGAACCAGTGAAGAGCAGGCACTCCTGCGTCTGCATCTCTGTGTTACTCATTTTAATTGGAAGGAGGCATCGCACAGGAGAGTCTAACCTTTTTAAAATGGATGTGAGACTGAGTTAATAGTCTGATAAATGGATGACAAAGGTCAAATTCACAGAGCCTTTTTGGTGTTTGATGATGCAGGTAAGCCTTCTAGAAGCAACATAAGAATTTCCAGTGAGAGTGGGGTTTACTTTAGGACGTGTTTTCAAGCACTAAAAATGCTTAATGTTGATATTCATCTCCTTTAATAAGCAGCTCCAAATAAGCAAATACACGGAGAAGCTTTAATAAGTGATCTTTTGAATTGAGATAAACAGTTTGCTAGGATGTAAATGCATGCATGTTTTTTGAAAAGCCAGATTTCCAGCTGATGATAAATATTCTGAACCAGACACAAACCGCAGGGATGTTCCACATTCTGGTTAAATTTCCCTCCTCATTATAGGCCTTTGTATGCATGCTTATTCCAATTTATATGAATAGGACTACTTCAGCGACAGTGTGAAATGATCTTGTGGATGTTATTTATGTAAGGTATGTCTGCAAAAAATCAGCTTCTTTGATGCATTTTGGGAGCAGCTCTAGATAAGAAAACATAAACCTTATTTATGATAGTGTTAAGGAATTCACTAATTTTTTTTTTTTTTTAGCACTGTTAGAATTGATGAATTGCTCTCTTCCTTTCAAACTGGTCTTATCATTTCTGGCTTTTCATTAACTTTCCAGGGAAAGAGGTGCTGGCCAAATAATTAGCCTGCAATTATTATTGTCTACAGTGACCCAAAAACTCAACATGGGCTTCAGTTTCATCAATACACTTATCCACATTCCACTTTATTCCTCATCAACATTAAAAGGGAGAGAAATTCACATTTTTCTCATAAAAAATGAACCTTTTTCAAGAATTGAAGACTTTGCTTAGTTAATTAATGTGTTTTTTTTTTTGTTAGGCCAAACATAGTACTATATCTTCACTTATTATTTTCTTTATGAGTGGTTGAGATTTTACATGCTAACACCACTTGAGGATTAATAGAAAAAATCATTTTGCTTTCTAATTCTTTGTGCCAGCGTTTGAAATCTAAATTATAGAATGGAGTAGTAGACTTCGCCTTATAAGATCAGCATCAAATGGTGTGATAAGTACTAGTGATGTTAATTGCCAAAGAGGTTCTGATATTTTTAACCTGTTGACACAGATTTTTGCATCTACCAATCTATAAATACCTAAATTCAGATTCATTTTGCTAAAATATACTTCCACAAAATAAAAATGAAAACAGCAATAGACACTTAGTTTTTATACCGGTTCTTCCTGTAAACATGTTGCAATATTTTTTCTTATTCGTACTCAAAATAACCTCATACTTTTGAAGTATGCTCAGATTTTCAATGGGAAGGAACAGAACAGGGAACATTCTTAGCCTGCCCAGGTCTGAGTTACGCTGCTGAGACCCAGCACAGCACAGAGGCAGACAGATGTCTCTCGTCCTGAAGGCCACGAGTGGACAGGTGGTGAGCGTCCAAGCTGCCCTGCCAGGACAGTAGTGCACAGAGGCAGAGCCTTCCATGCAGTGACACCAGGAGTCACTGTAGGTTGACTCTGTATTTCGCTATTGTGAATAGAGCTGCAATGGACACGGGGTGCAGAGATCTCTTCTGTATATTGATTTCCTTTATTGGGGTATGCACCAGTAATGGAATTTCTAGATCATATGTCAGTTCTACTTTAGTTTTTTGAGGAAAGTGTCTATCAATGGATTTACGGATAAAGAAAATGTGGACTGTATAAAAATACAATGAAATATTATTCAGCTGCAAAAGAAGAAGGCATCCTGTCATTTGGAATGGAGACTGTTAGGATAAGTGAGATTAGCCAAGCACAGAGAGAAAAACACTGCAAATTCCCACTCATATCTAGGAGCTAAACAGTGGACCTCATGAAGACAGAGGGTAGATTGGTGGGTTCCAGAGTCTGGGAACCAGAGGGAGTTGAAGAGAGGAGTGGTAATGGGTACAGACAACACTTAGAGCGCAGAGATGTGTTCAGACCTGTGTTCAGTACGTTAGTAAGGGGACCATAGTTAGCAATCAAGAGAAAAATGTGGATGTCCCTAGTCTTAAGAAATAAATGAATATTTAAGGTAAAACATATACTCGATTTGATTATATGAATGCATCAAATTGTCACATGTGCCCCCAAATATGTACACCTGATAGGTGTCAATAAAAAAAGCCTCAGCAGTACCTGAAAATAGGCAGAAAATCAAGGAAGCCGTATTGGAGATCAAGTTTACATCCATCTGCTGAATTTCAGTTTTCTCAGACAGAAGTGAAGATTGGGCTCTTTCCATCATAACAGGACATTTCTCCAAATGGACACTGGTTGGAATTTCTCAAACAAAATCTCTTATTTGAAGGGATAGTGGTTAATTATTAATGATAAGGAAATCAATTCCAAGAAGGCCAAGTCGCGGTGCATGATGGAGATATTCTGAGATCTCACATGATCCAGGTAAAAGCTGAACAGTAAGGATCCCTGAGTGTTTAATGTAGATACAGTGATATGTTCTTTTTCCCTATTATTTGATTGGACATTTGAGAATGAACATAGATCTTCTTCTTGCTCTGGGCTCTTCCCTAAAGGAACCGAACCAAACCAAAATAAAACAAAGATTTAGAAATCTTAGATTAGAGATAAGTAAACAGTGACATTATCTGTTTATCCCGTACATTGCAAACTCTGACCTCAGAGGGTCCAGCACGGAACCTGGGGCTCAACAAAGTGGCAGGAACTCCTGAACTCAAAGTTGACGTTGGTGAGAGCCGGGACTGGGATCTGGGGAGGGTCTGTCCAGAGCATTCCGGCTCCAGACACCTCGCCCAGGCTGCCTGCCTGCGCCCGGTGTGGCCTCGCGCTGCTGTCCCCTCCCCACAGGTCCCGTCTCCCGGCGGCTGTGGCTGTTGCTCTGGGCCAAGCCCGCACCTGCAGCTGGGGCTTCCTGGGCTCCGAGCAGACCTGTGGGTCTGAGCAGGAGGAGGGGTTTCTCAGCGGGTCTGTCCTGCCTGCCTGTGGTGACTCTTAGGAAGGAGTCCTTGCCTGCCCTGTGCTGGGACCTCTGTCTTGGAACTGGCAGAGGGAGTTAAGATCACGCTGCTTCGCTGCCCTGTCTCCAGACTGGGAAGACGTTTTTCTCCTGGGAGCTGCACTGTTGTTCCCGATCCCTCCAGTGGTTTGCGGCTCCTCCCTCAGTGGTTTAAAGCTTGTGTCACTTTGTCACGGGAGAGTGAAGGTTCAGAGAGGGGCCAGGGCCTTCTCTGCCTTCTCTCCCCAGACTCCGCGGGGAAAGAGGATCTCTCCAGGCCCCTGCCATGTCCCCAGCATTTCCCTCAGTCACCTAATGGAAGGAAGGACAGCCCCTCCCCGGCCAGGGTCCCTGCCGCGGTCAGGACCCAGCTGGACCTGGGGTAGTTTGCTCTAATTGCGCCCATCACATTCCAGCTGGACGCCTTCCCCTCAGCTCCTAGCCCATCTCTCCTTGGAGGGGCTGGTTCTTCAGAAGCGAGGTCCCCCGGGCATCTGTGACCTCGGCTCCCTGATGGTTTGGAGAGAAGTTTCGATGGTCTAGTTGAGCCTTTCCTCACTGGTAAAGCGGGAGTGGGGGTTTATTTCGCAGATGTCTGTATCCCAAGAAGATAGGAGTTCTACACTCTTCCAGGTCAAGGGCTTTAAAATTTAAGGGTTTTAACATTTCTCAAGTGGGTTTTAAAATTACTGTCCAGATTTTAGGAGTTTTAAGTTTTAAAAGTGTTCTGTCGAGGTCAGGGGTGGTGCTCGGTGATCACGCTATCTGAATGCTAAAATGCTTTCTAGTTAACCGTGCAGAAGCTTTTCTCCAAAGCTCACTTTTAAGCAGTAAATTAAGAAATGTTCTAAGCATTTAACTCACACACCACTTTAAAGTAGTGGTATAGGGTTCATCGCCACTGAAAATATTTCAGAGATATTCACAGATAAATTACAGAATTAAATTTACTATGAATTTATAATTCTGAACAGGTAAATTATTGGCAGGACAATCCCATCTCATCCAGAACTGCTTCCTATTTAGAGACTGCTTGTGATAGAAGCTGTTGACTTTGACTTTTTTTTTTTTTTT